CAAGGGGAAGACTATTGTGGTCCAGCCTCCACGCCCCCCCCCTCCTGTGAAAAGTTGGAAAAATAAGGCATATTGTATCCCCCAAAAGTATAGTATGTAAAAAATAAAGTCTTAAGTTTCAGTATGTCCAAAAAAGTCATTCAACAGTATTTAAAACAAAGGCATAGTATAGTATTTACCAAAAAGTAATAGTACAGTATGTCAAAAAAAATCATAGTATATTGTTTTGAGAAATCTAATAGTGCAGTATGCCATGAAAACGATATGTTATAAAAAAGTAATAGTATATCAAAAAGTAATCTACCCTCATTGCAAAGGCCCTTGTTCAGAACCTCAAATTGTTTCATTTGTCATCTTAACTAACACACTTGATCAAATGATATTAAAAGTTGTATTATTTCTTAATGGTATGGACTCTTCTCTGTTCCTTGCTTTTGAGGTCACGCCTCCACCATCTATTGGGCATGAATAAAAGAGTTCAGTAAATTCAAATGACTAAACAGATAGCCCATAATAATATCAGAGCTGCACTCTGGAGGGGGGCTATGTGCAGCTGCAGGTTTACTGTCAGGGTGTTTGCCGTTAGCGCAGCTTTTGAAGTTGTGTTCCTGCTGTTCGTTTGCCTTCAGAGGATTTAAACACAGACACGCAGCAGGAGAAAGGGGGCCGGGGGAGTTATAGCTCCAGAGTTGGAGGTCTGACAGGAGTCAGCGTTTTTATGGGTATTAAATGTACAGCGGAACCAGACATAATGACCCCCCATCCTGCAGGCTGGCACCGCTACTAGTCTGCTCTACCTGCCATGTGGCACTCTTTTCTTTCTGTCTTTCTGTATCCAACATGGCTCCCACAGCTTCTTCATATACTCGTCTGTGAACTAGAGACATGTTTTAAGGACCTTGGAAGTCTTGAACTGTTATACTCTGTGCTAGACTGGACATGTTTTGACTTAGATCTTCAGCACCTAAATAAGTCTCTATTGTTCAACTTAACAGTGTATTGTTTTGCATGAAATGCTCAGTGTTGTATCATTAGGCTAAATAACCTGTTGGGTCCTTGAGGGAATTAGGAAAGTTTGGGAACCCGGACAAACATTTTCTTTCCTTCCCAGTGTACTCAAAGCTAAAATGCTTCTCAATCAAAGCTGAAAAACTGTTTTTGTGACACTTTATTATCTCATCAGTCCGATATCATAGGCAATACATACTTGTGTTGACTGCAAGCTGTAGTAAACACATTAACAGTTCAATTTAATAAACAAATACTGAAACTTTTCAATGCTTTAGTAAAGGTTGTGTAGTGATGGTACATTTGCAAGATGTTAAAATCCCTCAAAATATGAAAATGTTCAATTCCAATCAATGTCTGTTTGATGTAATATTACAACCTCCTCTCCTCCCACACATCAGGGGGGGGGGGGGGGTTTCACTGGCTGTGGCCGGACTCTGCTGGCTCGTCGGCGGCGGGAACGGGCTGCGGGTACTGGAACCGCATCGGGTCGTACAGATCATCCATGGGGTTGTAGGCCTTGGGGAAGAAGTAAGGGAAGATGGGTCCTTTCTTCTCTTTGGGAGCAGGATGAGGGGTCTCAGGCACTGCTTCCTCTTCCTTCTCCTCCACCACAGGGGGGGGTGGAGGCTGGACCACAATAGTCTTCCCCTTGATGGGCCGGGGGGGGTGGTCAATCAGGCAGTCGGGGTCCCAGTAGGGGTCACAGTCGAACTCCATGCCCTTGAAGGAGCGCATGGGGACCGCGAAGGTCTTCTTGACGAGGATTGGAGGTGGGGGAGGAGGAGGGGGGCCGGGCAGACTTCTGTGGTGGAGGAGGGGGAGGAGGGTGGAGTGCTACCACTGGAGCTGGAGCTTTCTGGGGGGTGCAGTGGGGGTGGTAGCGGGGGTCGCAGAGCACGGGCACGGAGCCGGTGGGCATGTAGACGATGTGGGGCTTGCAGAGGGGGTCCTTCTTGTTGCACAGGTACAGGACGTCGGCCTGGGAGATGACAGGGGCTGGGGGGAGGGCGGGGGGAGCTGTGGGCTTTCCTTTCATGGGAGGGGGAGGAGGAGGAGCCATCGGGACCCCCAGCTTGTTCTGGTAGTACGAGGCGTCGGGGCCGTAGGTCTGCTCCAGGGCCCTCATCTGCTGGTAGAGCATCCGCAGCTTGTCGATCTCATAGATCTGAGAGGGAGAAATAAAGTTAGAAATCAAAACTCCTTCACTTGTCCCACAGCGGGGACATTTACATTGTAACAAATAAGTGACTAACATAGAAAAAAAGCACACATTAGTAAAATAAATTAAAGTAGATTGAGTACAAAGAAAAGTAGGTGACCAAATAAGAAGTTGTGAGGTAGAAGCAATTAATAATATTCATATCAATAGAATATTAACCCCTTGAAATACAAGATTAAAGGGAAGACAATTCCAATGTTACTAAAACATGATCCAGTCATAGAAGCCTTTCATTTGGATGAATAAATGTGTAAAATATAATTAATGTTATATTTTACATTGTATGCTTCATATATGAATTTGTAGTATTCCAAAGCGCAACATTAGATGGTTTTAATATTTCATGTTTTGATTTGATTTATGTTGCATACAATATGTTTGATTCTTTCATTTCACACTTTGGGACCCGGTCGACTGTCTGTAGATATTCACTGTCCAGAATCACTGGAAGTACACCGGGTGGATTCTGTTTGAGGACACATTTCTGCTTTTATAATTCGTTCTACCAGAGTAAGACATTTCATTCTCACTAAACTCTCCCAGAACTAGACTGTGAACAGTATCTAATCACAAAGCCTTGTGTCTTTCCAGATGTGCTCACCCCCTCAGTGTGTCCGATGCTGCTGTAGTAGCGGTAGTAGGACTGGAAGTCTGGGTTCCCTCTGTACCACCGAGGGTCCGCGTTACGCTTCGGCCTGGAGTTACTCAGGAAGCTGTTTGCTCTCTGTGAGTCGATACCTACGTTACCGACTGGTACCATCTCTGTAAACAGATGAGATCAAATCACTTAGAAAATAAAATATTTATAATTATATATATAAATGTTTATTTGAAATGATTTAGGATCTGCTTACCCTCCTGCTGCATGTCGTTTAACAAAGATTTGGCCTCCAGCAGGCCTAGGAGAGGAGACAGATCATTGGTTTGATTTAAGTTATCATGTTTTTATTACAATTTAAAGGCTGCTCAGATTTCCATAGAGGACAAAAAGGCCTGCATCAAAAAACTGCCATTAAATAATGAATTAGTATTTTCGTTGACCGCTTACACAGAGTTAAAACCTTTAACCATCTTCACTCATGGAGATTTTTTCAGAATTCTACCCATTTAAATAAGTTGGTTAGTTTACAAACATGCTTTTGTTGATTCTTATTGCTTACATTTATGTCATGTGCACAAACTAAATTCTGAAATAGAGGGTTAAGCAGTTGTTCAATACAAAATCAGCTCTTACCGGGGAGC